ACAGTGTCCTTTGCTTTACAGAAGCTTTTCAGTTTATGAGGTCCCATTTATTGATTGTTGCTCTTAGAGCCTGTTAGAAGCAATTGTTTTACAAGACTCTGAAGCAAATAGTCTAGGCTTAAATTTGGCCCTGTCCATCTCCTGGACGTGTGATCTTGAACAATGACTTAGACATCTTAGTCTTCAGTTGTACTGTCTGTGAAATAGATATTAGCAACAGTAACTTCCCTCAGCAGGCACAAGGAAGCTGAGCATTTTAGTACTTGATAATGTTTAAAACAGAATTTGGTGCAGAGTCAGAGTGCCAGGAGCATTTGATGAATAGGTAAAATGGAAGACTCTGTGCCTTATTCTAAACAGGGCCCTATGGCTGAGTAAGGGTAGAAGAGAGCAGAGCCATTATTCAAAGATGAAGGGTGATTGCCTATAACCACAGTTTCCATGGGGCTAAAGCAAAAGCAGAGCCAAAACCCATGCTGGTTCACTTTCCTTGGTTAAATCTTATGGTCCCTTTCCAAGCCTAGCTGCTACTTTTACAATGACTATAAGCAATATTTCAAAATATTGCAATATTTTACAATGACTATAAGCAATATTTCAAAAAGGGTTTGGTTATACTGACTAATCTTATATTTAGGAATATATATATATATATATGTGTGTGTGTGTGTGTGTACATATATATGTTTGTTATATGTCTCTATATACATATTCATAGATATGTTTATATATGTATACACATACATACACATATATCTATATATACAGACATATAACATACATATATTTATGTATTTGTATTATGTATATATCAACAATTCATTAAAAAAAAAGAGGCCATCAATATCAAAGAGAGCAAGGAGGAGTCTATGGAAGGGCCGAAGTGAGGAAAGAGAATGGGAGAGTGAAATGATTACATTATAATATCAAAAATGAAAAAGAGTTTAAGTCATCCTTTTAAGACCCAGGTCCTTTAGTAATCATGTGGGTGAAGGTCTTTGGCAAATAAAATTTCTTTTCAGAAGATGTGAGAATGTTCAGTGCCACACCGGTATGTAACTGTGCATGTCAGTCTCTTACTATCTTTTAAAACAAGCATGTCCACTGTCACCAAGCATACTGCAGAAGTAAAACTGATTTGACATTACAAAGCAAGCCTTAAATGAAAATCTGTTGAAAAATCTTTTCTGGAAAATAAATCTAATTACTGTAATTAACAATGAAAGCAGAAAGAAGCATCCTGCACCACTATTATTCTATTATTATTAACATTAGAAAAGTATTTCAATTGTCGATATATTTTATAATCATGTCTTAGTCAATCCCACAACATGCTTGAGAAGCAATAAAGCTATTTATAGCTGGGCTTTCTCAGCTGAAAGTCTTTCAAACATCCTTTTGTTTTAATATCCACGCTCACTATCAGCAGTGAATCAATTCACAATAATTCTCATTTATATCACCTCAAGGTGAGGGAGGGACTCCAAGGGTCACCTAGTCCAGAAGAGCCAAACATTGTCATGATGCAGCCTTCATCTTTATAACTCACACTAGTAACAAGCTTTCTTTTCAGATGTGCACGCCTCCGTGGAAGGACAGAATGCCTTCCAGATCTGCTAATATAACTGCTATTATTAAATTTAACATCTTTATACTGTACAGACTGTTGGAGTACAAGTTTATCTTCGGTAGAATTCTCATGTTTTCAACAACTACCAGTTTATGTGATTTGTAGTGAAAACAACAGGAGGGAAACTTTTGAAAAAAAAAAAAAGGGCAAAACAAAACATGGATTTTCCTGACCTAAAACACCGTTTCCTGAGAGAATGGGAGTTTGGACTTTATCAGTGAGTCTCTGGCCTTGGAGACCAGAAGACGTGGAGGCCATGGTGAGAAACTCCCACCTGGCTCATGGTCAGTCTTCACAGTGTCTGGTGCAGTCAGCAATGAGGGTGTAGGATAACAAATATCAGAAACTACACAGTGGGTATGGTCATGTGGAAAAGACATCTGGCATCACATGAAAGGACTCAGCCAGTTTCCACCTAACATTCCTGTGACTGCTTACACTATACAACTGAAATCACACTTTCAGTGGGTCAGGAGGAGGAAGAGTTGCCAGCCCCTGTTGTTAACTGATGCTGTTATATTTACTCATATACTCATTCTCTACCACATCCTTGATGCTAGAAGGTCAACAGACCAGCTGACTGTATATACATAAGGGAATCAGTACAAGAGACACACCACAAAACTCGGTAAGAAGAAGCATTAATACACAGGAAGTCAGTTTGAGACTGATCTGATCCATGGCAAGTTGACAGTCAAAGAAAACAAAGGGTTAAACCAATTTGCTGAAGGTGTCTTGCAGCTACAGTGGCATGAATGTTAACATGAACTCAGTCTAGCTTTGTATCTTAGGTAACTGTTTAAAAATCTTCAGGTTCCTTATTAAAGGCCTTCACCAGGAACATGTGCTAAACAAACAAACATTTGTTGGTTGATACTTTTCTAAATGTGAGGGATACAGAGAAATAAGACATAGTTCCTGTCCCCAAAAGATTCATTTTTCTGCTATAGAAGCAGCTGTGGATAGACACATAGTGAGCAACATAATAATTATAGGAAGAAGGAAATAAGGGTATTGTGGGCTGAAGAACAGGAGCTTAAACATACAGAGTTGCAATCAGGCTTCCTGTTATAGATATTTAAGTGGGAAATCTTGTTAGGTAAGAAGGCAGTGGATGGCTTAGGACTAGGGAAGGAATAGGTGGACGAAGCAGCAGGGCCCATGATGGAGAGTAGGGAGCTACAAACAGGCCACGGTGACAAGGCATGAAGTCATCACAGGAACAGTTAAGAAAACACTATGAAGAACAGCACTGAGCCCTGAAGGGATAGGGAGTTCTAGCTCTCTTACAAGATTAGAGATTTCTGTCTGAGACATCATTCTGGAGTCAAAGACGATGGATATGAAGAACAGAAATCTGGGAACCGGGACGGTATGTGCAGGCTAGTGACCTGTGGGCCTGTGCTGGATAAAAAGAAAAAGAAGATCTAAAATATCTCCAAGAAGGAAAGACAAGGGGCCACAGAGAGAAGGGATGGTTGGAGACTGAGGTAAAAGGTGGAAGAACAGATAAATCCATATTCTTGCAGTGTTCTGATTGTTCCCATGGAAACCCAGGAGGCCTACCAGATACCTCCAACAAATGTTCATTTTAGCCTAAGATACAGAAGGATTTCTGACAGTCAGAAGTGCCCAGAAGTGGGACAAGTCAAGGTGGGGTATTATTTTGTTTTCATTGGTGCTGTAGCAAACTAACACAGACTAGGGCAGGGTGAAATCAGAAATTCATTTTGCCACAATTCTACGGGATGGAAGTCTGAGGTATATGAGGTCAAGTTCTTTGGCTAGGTACCTTCACAGTCTTCTTTCTGAATGTATCTGTCCTAATCTTATATTTTTTACACTAGTCACATTGGGTTAGGGTCCACCACAGTGTGCCTACTTTAATTTAATCTTCTCTTTTTCTTTTCTTTTCTTTTTTTTTTTTCACATTACAACATGGTTGTAGTCCCATCCCTCTTCTCCTTCCAGTCCTACCCTTCCTCCCTCCCTCTCCTGCTTGCCTATTCCTCAGAAAAGAGTAGCTCCCTTTTCCATCCATGCCAGCTATTCAAGTTGATCAGGACTGAGCATGTCCTCATCCCTGTGGCCTGGTAAGGCAGTCCTGCCAGGGGGAAGAGATCAAAAAGCCAGCAAGTGAGTCCATGTCCAATACAGTCCCCAGTTCCCTTATAGGTTAGGGTACCCACATGAAGTCTAAGCTGCCCATCTGCTACATCTTTGTAGGAGGCCTAGGTCCAGTCCATGCATGGCCCTTGGTTGGTGTCTCTACAGGCCCCTCAGGGACCTGATTAGTTGGCCCTGTTGGTCTTGTGGAGCTCATGTCACCTCCAGGTCCTTTTCACTTTCCTCCTACTTTTCCACAAGCCTCACTAAGCATCTCTAAGCATCCCCCAATGTTTGGCTTTGAGTCTCAGCATCTGTTTTGAGGCACTGTTGAGTAGTCTCTCAGAAGACAACTTTGTCCTGAGTGAGGTAACCCAGACTCATAAAGACAGACACGGTATGTATTCATAAGGAGATTTTAGCGATGTAGTACAGGATAAGCATACTACAAGGCATAGATCCAAAGAAGATAAATAACAAGGAGGAGCCACGGGATAATGCATAAATATCACCTGGAAGGGGAGGCAGAATAGACAGAGGTAGTGGCTGAAGAGAGGGAACAAAGTAGAAGACAGTGCACAGAGAGTTAAGAGGTAGAGAGCAGACCTGGTGAGAGCGAGGGTGGGAGAACAGAAGGCCTTAGAGAAAAGAGAAATGGAGGGTGGGGGCATTTCTGTGACAAGCTGGAGATCCAAGTCAGGGTAGGTTCATGGGAAGATATGAGGGGCACTCAAGCAGAGACGCCTAGTAGCAGAGGCCACAGAGACTGAAGAGGACACCTTCTAACTAGACTAGCCTCCTAGTAGAGGGAGGGGAACTCCAACCCACCCACAAAAACTTCAACCTCAAATTTACCCTGCCTACAAGAGGTGCAGGGATAAAGATAGAGCAGATGGAGCAGAGATTGAGGGAATATCCAGACAATGCCTAGCCCAACCAAAGACCTACCCTCTGGGAGAGCACCAAACCCTGACAACACTCAGCCAAAAGGAACACAGAAAAAATTGTGGAGAGTGTGGGGTAGCAGAAACAGTAGCACCTAACTTGGGATGTCCTCGAAGGCTCTTGTAGTTCTGACAGCTGCAAATGTAAGCATAGCTAAGCAATGCTGAACTACTGCTATTAATCATCCTTAATGCAATATCCTTCCTCATATTTTGGACAAAGATTACATTTTCATGGCAGTTTGAATCTTCCCCAGGGCAACATGCAGGAGGTCAGGGACAAGCACTTCCAGTAGAGTATAAGCAAAAACTGATCTTACCTATGAAAGAGGACTGACTTGACCAGGGTGACAACATCCCTGCTGGCGTTGTATCCGGCACAGACGATGGCCACGTGGATGGTCTAAGAGGAAAGGAACAGAGAGTAAGCAGTCACACAGACAAAAGCACGTCATCTTGTCTTTGTTGATGCACAGAAAAGAAATATCACCCTCATTTGTTGTTGGATCATAGAAAACAAGGGCACTGCCTGCAGCCATGGAGAATAACTTGAGACAGTTTTACTAAAGTCTTTTTAATTGGTTTATGGTGCTATCATCATTTGGAGGCCATTAAGACTCTTTTCAACTACATTGTAGAGATGGGAGCAATGGTGATTGGTTCAAATAGGTAAACAGTTAGTCCACTGGCACAAATCCAGGAGCCAATGGCAACTGGCAAAAGAGAATAAATGTGCCCCAGTGGGCCAACAATCTGAGCTGTCATACTGAGAAGTTATGGTTTAGAGTGTGAACTGTCCTTCTGAAATGACTCTGGGTAAGGTTAATACGAAAGCAGGATAAATGGACCAGTGAGCAGCTCAGGGCTCCATCTGGACTACCATTCTAGGAATTAAGGGGCAGAATTGGGAGGGGCATTACTAGTTATCTCATTTAAGCTGTTAGCAGTATTGACCACAAACACAAACCCTGACCCCATCTTTAACCCCAGGTGGCTTTGGGAAAGTTAGGGTCAGCCACCAACTGGAGCATAAGTTATAAGTATCAGTTGTATTTGGTTGCTGTGCTAAAATACCAGACTAAAGCAACTTCTATGAGGAAAGATAAAAGTTGGCTCATGGTGTAAGGTCCCTCATTAGTACAGAGACCATGAATCTCATTGCTTATATTCTGGAGAATAAAAAAGCACTTATCTGATCTCCTTTTTCAACTTTTATTCAGCTAGAGCCCATAATCCATTGACTCTGAGCACGTTGAGGGGAAGTCTTCCATGCTCAGTTATTTCTCTTTAAAAATGACCTCAAAGACAGACCCAGAGGTGTATTGTCTAATGATTCTAAACACAGTCAAGCAGATGATGGAGATTAACCACCATAAGTTCATGTGCCAACCTGACATCCAAACACACTTCATTTGTATACCAAAAAAAGACCACTTATGGTCCTCAAAGGCTCCTGGCCATGTCAGAATGCAGAATGCATTTATTTCATCTTTAGAACTGATGCAAGTCATAACATTTTCATCATTGTTCAAACCTTCAAAGTAAAGCCTTTTCTGAGACCCAAGTCAATTTATTAACTGTGGGGACTTATGAAATAAAAAAAAAAAAAATGACTCAGATGCTTCCAACATAAAACTGCACAGTAAACATTCTCATTTGAAAAGGAAGGAATGAAAGAAAATCAAGGACAAACTAGATTACAGCAAGAATAAAACCAAGCAAGGCAAACAACAAAGCCTATAGTTCTCTGTCCAGCAAATCGGATTCATGATGGCATTATCTAGGTACAATAAGCTTGGGAAGCCCCTCCTTTTCATTACTGTTCCCTCTGGCAAATGTGGTCTCCCTTAACTACCTAAATTTCATATATGCAGCTTTTCTTGGGGGGGTACATCTCTGGTGCATTGCCCAATTAGGGTCACTACAACAAGATAGGATTTAATTTCATAGATTCATAGCACCTCTACTGGTCATTACCTACAAGAACATAACCCAGCAACAGGCTCCCTAAAATAAGTGGCTTTCAGGAATCTTTGTGCAAGTCCTCAAGATGCATTGTTGAGTTTTGCAGTATTAGCAGTGCTCTGTCATTACAAATAACTAAATCCTCTTCATACTATTAAAGCTGTCAGACAGGCTCACACATTCAGGTTGGCTGAGGTTAACAAGGTTTTGATTTTTGTTTTCTAATTAATTTTAAATGGGGTGGGAGTGAGGAGAGAGGAGGCTGAGAAAGGGAAAAAAGAAACAGCAAGAGAAAGAAAGTTGTCCCCAGTCCCCCTACACAAGGATTGAGTTGAGTACTCGAGTACTCCATGCTAGCCAGCTCCTGCTTCTGGCTGACTGTCATGTCCCCACCTTGTCATCAACTTTCTCTGTACTGTACAGACATTGTTTTCTATTTTTGGCATGTTTTGACCAAGACTGGGAATGAATGCTCTAGTCCAGGACAATAGTAGTAAGAAATCACGGTATGTTAAAGAATGTAGAGTCCCTGCATGTCCATTCTGTCCCTCCTCCTGAAGCACAGCTTTCCTTGAATCAAAACACATCTATTTTTTTAATTAATTTTTTATTTATTATAATTTATTCACTTTGTATTCCAGCTGTAGCCTCTTCCCTCAATCCCTCCCAATTCCGCCCTCCCTCCCTCTTCTTGTTCCACGCCACTTCCCCAGTCAAATGATAGGGGAGGTCCCCTTCCCCTTCCCTCTGACCCTAGTCTATCAAGTCTCATCAGGGCTGTATGTATTGTCTTCCTCTGTGGTCTGGTAAGGTTGGCTCTCCCTCACCCCCACCTCAGGGGGAGGTGATCAAAGAGCCAGTCATTGAGTTCATGTCAGAGACAGTCCTTATTCCCTTTATGGAACCCACTTGGAAACTGAGCTGCTATGGGCTACATCTGTGCAGGGGTTCTAGGTTATCTCCATGCATGGTCCTTGGCTGGAGTATCAGTTTCAGAAGAGACCCATGGGCCCAGTGTTGTTGGTTCTGTTGGTCTCCTTGTGAAGCTCCTGTCCTCTCCAGGTCTTTCTATCTCCCCCTTCTTTCCCTGTACTCTGCCCAAAGTTTGGCTATGAGTCCCAGCATCTGCTTTTAATACCCTGCTGGGTAAAGTCTTTCAGAGGCCCTCTGTGGTAGGCTCCTGTCCTGTTCCCTGTTTTCTCCCTCTTCAGATGTCTATTCAGTTTGCCTTTCTGAATGAGGATTGAGCATCTTACCCAGGGTCCTTCTTCTTGCTTAGCTTCTTTAGGTGTACAGATTTTAATATGATTATCCTATATTGTAAGTCCAAGTGGATCAAAACCTCAACATAAAACCAGATACACTAAACCTGTTAGAAGAAAATGTGGGGAAGAGCTTTGAATTCACTGGCACAGGAGACAACTTCCTGAACAGAACACCAACATCACAGGTGTAAGATCAACAATCAACAAATGGGACCTCATGAAACTGAAAAGCTTCTGTAAAGCAAAGGACACTGTCATCAGAATAAAATGACAGCCTATAAATTGGGAAAGGATCTTCACCAACAGTATATCTAACAGAGGACTAATATCCAGAATATATAAAGAACTAAAGAAGTTAAAAAGCAACAAATCAAGTAATCCAATTAAAACATGGGGTACAGAGCAAAACAGAGGATTCTCAATAGAGGAATATCAAATGGCAGAGAAACACTTTAAGAAATGCTCAATGTCCTTAGTCATCAGGAAAATGCAAATCAAAACGACCCTGAGATTTCACCTTATACACATCATAATGGATAAAATAAAAAACTCAGGTGACAGTTATGCTGGAGAGGATGTGGAGAAAGGGGACCCTCCTCCATTGCTGGTGGGAATGTCAACTTATATAACCACTTTGGAAATCAATCTGGCGCTTCCTCAGACAATTAGGAATAGTGTTACCTCAAGATCCAGCTATACCATCCCTAGGCATATATCCAAAGTGTGCTCAAGTATACAAGAAGGAAATTCACTCAACCATGTTTGTAGCAGCAACCCAGAAGTCCCTCAATTGAGGAATGGATACAGAAATTGTGGTACATTTACACAACGGAATACCACTCAGCAATTAAAAACAAGAAAAATCATGAAACTTGCAGGCAAATGGTGAGAACTAGAAAAGAAAATCCTACAAGCATTGCCGAAGAATGGTCCCGCTGCTTAGCAGATCAAGTATTAGTCAACCTAACTAATAAAATTTAAGATGAAATTGGTTTATTTAGATCATAATCCATTACTGTAGGGAAGACTGCAGAAGCTTAATAGAACTAGTCACATTATATCCCAAGTCAAGAGCACAAAGCAGTGCACTAGTCTGTGCACACGAGTGCCCTGACCCTATCTACACTCACACCGCCCAACAGTGGATGGCTTTCTTAAATCAGCCACAGCAATCACTGTAATCCCTCACAGGCATACAGAGCGGCCCTTCTCACATCTTTCTAGATTGTATGACATTAGAAATTAAAACCACCCATCACAGTGGGTCTTATTCTGTCCATGCTGTCACTTCATGGCCTCTGGCTTCCCCCTATCCTTGGCAGCCTCTTCTAGATGATCTGCTTCTACCTTTCTCGTCCATTAGATGCTGTGTACAATAACGTTCTGGCCAATAGGAATTCTTCACTACCGTGTTTGTTATAATCTCAGGACCACATCCATCAGACACAAACCATAAACTATTGGTCAGCCTCAATCCATTCTTGTAACCTCTCTGATCCCAATTTTCACTCCACATGACCACTCCCACCACTTTAGTGCTAGAAGTAGGACTCAGCTCTATTTTCGTGTTGTTGCTACATCTACAGAATTCTTATAGTTGCTAACCCCTACTCCTAAGTCCTCTGCTATGGAGGGCCCACTTTTGTAGGCACCTACCTTAGCACGACCTTTCCAGCCCCACCACACCTGGCCTCCATTGTTCTTCACCCAAACTCACTTCTTTTTCAGCCATTTTGTCCATATTGTCCCTACTAAAGATACAAATTCCTAATCCTAGGTCTCTGATGCAAGCCTCATGCTCTGCTCTTATACCTAAGTGCCATGAAAGATGAAAGGAAAGACAAGGCACTAATAGCAAGCACAATGACAGCTGGCATCTATCAAGAAATGACTACATTCTAGGCCTTGTGCTTCATACCATACACTCTTTATCACATTTAAATCCCACAGCTCTGTGAGTAAGACATAGTATTTCAATTCTTGTATCACAGACAAGAAATCCATGGTTGGGAAATATAGTTTGAATGTGAACTCCATCCTACCCATCCTGAACCACGCTCCTATGTTTGGTAAATTCCTGGTTGGTGGCACTGCTTACAAAGCAAAGCTTTGTAAACAAAGAGCTTTACAAAGCAGAGTTCAAATGGAGGATGTAGATGGGTAGGAGGCTGAC